GTAGATACAAATTCTAATGAATAGACAAACAAACAAACGAAACAATAGTTAGAGACAACAAAACATATTGCATTGAACATAACAGCGGAAGCTGTTTTCAATACCTTCCGAAATCGGGAAAGAGCTCCACGTAGCGCGGTCCTGAATCGATATAATCAAGAGCAGACAGATATGCAGTGAACATACAAGGTATTCAAAAAAATTTAGCTACCTGAGTAGAAAAGTAAAAAGAAAAACTGACCCATGTATTGCTTGTCCTTTAACAAAGCGTCATCATAGTCCTTTCGACTCGAAAATTCAACACGAGCTTCTCCAGACGGACGTCCACTTGCTTCATGAATTATTTCAACGTGCGCTGGACGGATAGGATTGAAGAACTAAAGGATTGGCAAGTTGGAATTCCGAGACTCATACTAAAAAATGACTTTCTAGTGTTTCATAAACCATGACCTTTCACTATAGGAATCTAATCAGGCTATGTTTCAGTCGAAAGACCAAGAATACTTTGAAAACTAGTGGATCATGGCATGTGAAACACTGAGGTCAGGTCGACTATCGAAACCGAGCTTATGTGATAAAAAAGCGCACATCAGCGTTCACCCTATTCCATTTAATCTCCGATTGTTAACCATTTCCCTCCCTTACCAAAAGATCGCCTGATATAGAGCAAAAAAAAAGCTAAAGAAAAGACTTAGACAGATTCGAACAATGGTCAAACACTAGCTAAGTAAAAGCTTGTGTCTCTCAAACCATCCAATCGAGCAACCATGACAACCAATTCCTAACCCAATTTGGAAAAACTAGCGAACAGAAGTGGCGTGATGATATTTCATAGACATTTCAATACCCTTTGGAATCTTATCCTTCACTCTACCCAATGTAGTTCCCTAATCCACCCTGATGTTTGACCTTTGTTCAAATCTAAATATTCTCTTTTCAAAGGATTTTCCGCGCCTGTGCCAAACTCCAACCTTTATCAAATTTCCAAATTGAATCAACACAACATGCCAACTTACGTCATAGATATCCGCTTCGATAGCACGGAACGGCACCCCTCTCATTTTGAGTGTGTACCTCTGCCCAGGCCGTTCACGTCCACGAGGTGGGGCGGCAGCTGACCCTCGAGAATCTTCGTGGTCCCGCCAATGGTCGCGCACACGTATCGGTCCACCAGCACCG